TAAAGGCTTTTGTGTGTCAAAGCGTCTGTGTGTCAAAGTGTGTTTGTGTAAAAGCACCATGTGTAAAAGATTTTGTGTGTACTTTAACCGCACGACATGGAACTGTTAGAGATTGAGGGTGACAATGCTTGCTAGTGTATCCGTGCTAGGACGTGCGGAGCTTGGTTCGTTTGGTGTGGTAATCTGTGTGGGAATTGATATGTTCATAGTGAGCTTCACTGTTCAGTTTGCATGTCTATGCGACAATGATGTTTGCTTGTCAAACCATGAGTGGTGTTCTCAGTTTGGAAGTCAGAGAACAAACGCTTTGCAGTGGATTGTGCAACTCTGCAGTGACAAGCATAGTTTACCTCTTTACCTCTTTCCTGGGCTCAGAGGTGAACGTAGAGCCGAGATGCATTGTGCACAGAGTGAACATCCATATTCTTATATGTACGTTGAATGTTCGTGAAACAAGTGACGATTGGCAAACAGGTATCTTTAACATTTCTTGCACTTCTCGAGGTTTCTGTAGGGGCTGTCTGTGAGATCTCGAGAATTGCATTGTGACAATGTCAGTGTTTGTTTACGATGCAGTGGATCTATGTGATGTATAGGACAAAAATATATATATATATATATGTGATGTTTTCATTGAAATGCATGAGCAGTGAACAAAAAATACTACGGGAATCATTGTACCGTTCAATTTTGTACCGTTCAATTTCGTTTTGAAATCAAGCATGTCATGGCATTGTTTTGAAAGCAAGCGAACAAATATGTATGTCTCGGAATTTCCGAATGCAAAATGTTTGTTTGAAGTCACGCACCCGTGACGTTTGTGGGCGTTTTGTGGTCGCTGTTTCATTTGCTGAAGGGAATGTCCGTGCGAATGGAGCATGCGACCGCGTCCTGCGTCGTCCGATGCCGTGGAAATTTGGTTGCAGAGGCATTGCGAGATGATGCAAGATGGTGTTGCCGAGCTGCTGAGTTTTTTGTTACCGAGCTTTGTTAAACTAGTTTTTTTGCTGATGCGTTCAGCCTTCAGTTCGCAGGTCTCTGCGACAGTGGTTCTTTGCCATGTCAAACTCATGAGTGGTGTTCTCAGTTTGGAAGTCAGAGAACAAATGCTTTGCAGTGGATTGTGCAACTCTGCAGCGACAAGCATAGTTTACCTCGTTACCTCTTTCCTGGGCTCAGACGTGAACGTAGAGACAAGATGCATTGTGCACAGAGTGAACATCCATATTCTTATATGTACGCTGAATGTTCGTGAAACAAGTGACGATTGGCAAACAGGTATCTTTAACATTTCTGGCACTTCTCGAGGTTTCTGTAGGGGCTGTCCGTGAGATCTCGAGAATTGCATTGTGACAATGTCAGTGTTTGTTTACGATGCAGTGGATACTGTGATGTATGGCACGAAAAAAAATATATGTGATGTTTTCATTGAAATGCATGAGCAGTGGACAAAAAAATACTACGGGAATCATTGTACCGTTCAATTTTGTACCGTTCAATTTTGTTTTGAAATCAAGCATGTCATGGCATTGTTTTGAAAGCAAGCGAACAAATATGCATGTCTCGGAATTTCTGAATGCAAAATGTTTGGTTGAAGTCACGCACCCGTGACGTTTGTGGACGTTTTGTGGTCGCTGTTTCATTTGCTGAAGGGAATGTCTGTGCGAATGGAGCATGCGACCGCGTCATCCGCGTCGTCCGATGCCCTGGAACTTCGGATGCAGAGGCATTGCGAGATGATGCAAGATGGTGTTGCCCAGCTGCTGAGTTTTTTGTTACTGAGCTTTGTTAAACTAGTTTTTTGTTGATGCGTTCAGCCTTCAGTTTGCAGGTCTCTGCGACAGTGGTTCTTTGCCATGTCAAACTCATGAGTGGTGTTCTCAGTTTGGAAGTCAGAGAACAAATGCTTTGCAGTGGATTGTGCAACTTTGCAGCGACAAGCATACTTTACCTCTTTATCTCTTTCCTGGGCTCAGAGGTGAACGTAGAGACAAGATGCATTGTGCACGGAGTGAACATCCATATTCTTATGTGTACGCTGAATGTTCGAGAAACAAGTGACGATTGGCCAACAGGTATCTGTAACATTTCTTGCACTTCTCGAGGTTTCTGTAGGGGCTGTCTGTGAGATCTCGAGAATTGCATTGTGACAATGTCAGTGTTTGTTTACGATGCAGTGGATCTATGTGATGTATAGGACAAAAAAAATATGTGATGTTTTCATTGAAATGCATGAGCAGTGAACAAAAAATACTACGGGAATCATTGTACCGTTCAATTTTGTACCGTTCAATTTCGTTTTGAAATCAAGCGAACACATATGCATGTCTCGGAATTTCTGAATGCAAAATGTTTGGTTGAAGTCACGCACCCGTGACGTTTGTGGACGTTTTGTGGTCGCTGTTTCATTTGCTGAAGGGAATGTCTGTGCGAATGGAGCATGCGACCGCGTCATCCGCGTCGTCCGATGCCGTGGAACTTCGGTTGCAGGAGCTGCGTAGCAGTGCTGTGACCAGGGGTCGTGAATGGCTCCAGGATGCCCTGGCACAAATTTCTGTAATGGAGCTTCGCAAAATGGCACAGGCTCGGAATGTTGGCCGTGGACCGGACAAGAAGTGGTTTGCAGTTGGAGAGCTGCGCGCTCGATTGCTGGATGTCTTGGCACCTCCAACGCAGGTCCGGTGTGGCAGACTAGGATTGTGACGAAAGTTGCATGTTTGTCACATGGTGCGATGTTGTAGGATGATGGTGGTTTTGTGTTGGCAGTGTGTCGGATGCCGTAGGTGGACGAGGCATCGGCTGCCAAATTGGAAGAACTTCGCCTTGGAGCTGTTTCACAGGGCAAGGAGTGGCTCAGTCGTTCTTTGGACGAAATGCGAAAAGAGGAGCTTCGAGTCCTGGCTACTGCGGGTGGTGTGGAGACACGATCCGGCAAGGCTTGGCTGCCTGTAGCAGAGCTGCGCAACTCGTTGATGAAAGTCTTGGAACCCTCCACGGAGGTTGGGTTCAACCAAAAATGTGTTTTGACGTAAGTTGTTTTTGTGACCGAATTTGAATGTTTGTCACATGGTGCGATGACGCTGCAAGACGCTGCAAGACAATGCAAGACGATGCAAGATAATGTAAGACATTGCAAGACGATGCAAGGCGATGCAAGGCGATGCAAGATGATGCAAGACAGAGCAATATGATTGAAGGTTGTGCAAGACGATGCAAGATGATGTGTTACTTCCAAAATAACACAAAATGTGTTACTTCCAAAATAACACACAGAGATGCTGGAACTTAGGTCGTGTCCGTGGAGGTGCCCAGATAAAGATCGACCGCAGTAGCCGGATTGCTGCAGTAGCAAAAGCGGCAAACATGCCACATCTGCAGCATCATGGTACCGACCTTTGCTTGGAAGCAGCTTGTGGGAGCTGGAAGGCTTGCATACCGAGTGGCACATGGAACTGAGTGCAACTGGCGCAAATTAATCTGTAGCAGTGTTCGCCTGGAGAGACTGTTCGTGACGAACATGCAAAACCAGTAGCCAACTGTTGTTTGTCTGTAAAGATTTTTTTTTCCATCCTGTAGGGACATCGGAGAAATGCAGTGAAACAGGTGTCATCCTTGCCATCATGATATCGAACTTGCTATTGTGGAATCATTCACAGCATTCTTGCACGGACTTCTAGATTCTCTTGGATGCCATGGTACGGAGCCTTTGTTTGCCCACCTGTGTTGGCAACTGAGGTCATCCACGGCATCATGGTGCCGAGCTTATTTTGTATCTCAAAGAGCGGATGCCTTGCATTGGATTGTGCGTTGATCATGGTACTGAGCCTGGTCTTGTGCACCTTTGCGATTTTTTAGCATTTCCATTGCAACTATGTTTGCGCACCTTTGTTTGCAACTGAGGTCACCCAGTGGTGCCGCGGTTTGTGAGCGTCTCTGTGTAAAAGTCTCTGTGGAAGCGTCTGTGTGTA